CGTAATAACCTCATATTATTATGTATATCTAATGCTAATCGTACACCTCTCTTAAAGTAAGTTGAAAGTAGTACAAAGTCTAAGTTCTGTATCAGTGCGCATCTTACTATTGTTCACGAGTCCACGGCTGTTTTCCCTGATTACAAGATATGAATATGAAGAATCAGCTAACACCTTATCTAACACGATAGTTTCTAAGAACTGAACTAACAACTAAACTAGTTATGTGTAATTTATGTAAATGACTATTAATCTAAACGTTCTGCCACTATAATAATTCTTCAAGATCGGGTATGCACGATATCAGATGAAAGATTGGTTTAATTGAGTGTTTGTTGGAGCGGATGTATTTGGCGGAGACTGATTAGTAGACTCTGGTGTGCATTTATCTGCATATAATTGTGGTTTAAATTACTGAGATTCTGTTTCAATTGCTTTATAAACCAGTGCTTTACTGTTTCAGTTTTTCGGTTTTAACAACGTAAGTAAAATCAGGGGTGAGTTTTGTCAATTTCCCCATAGCGTTCTTGATCTCGGATCCACACTTTAGCACCGCGTTGAAGTACAGAAAAAAGTTCATTCGTTCTGTGTCGCTGGTCTAAATTGCATTTCTGATTTGATCTGTAGATAATCTTTGAAGAGAACGTGAAAGTACTTGTCATTGTGTGCTAGTTTTCTCATCAACAGCTCACTAAGGGTTACATTATTTTGTACAGGTTTCGGTCGGTATGTGAGGATAAGGATCTTCATTTTTTCTAAGCAGATCTTTGACAGTGTAAACTGCTCGTTCGGCTTCACGATTAGATTTTAGGTATCTGTGTGAATAGGCAAGAATCGTTTTTGAGAGTAACAACTTTTTAATTGGGCTTCTTCCCATATCCAATCATTGTCCGTAAAGAGTAGTGCATGTAACGCCTTGCTTTGATCAGCAAGCCCTGGTATAAATTCACCGCATTGGTTAACCATACCTAGAACACCAGAAAGAGTGTGTTGAAATATCAGGTGCTGAACCAAATGAATGTAATATTCAGTTTTTAATTTGCCTAGTCATTTGAACAAAGCTAGAAATTCTGCTCTGGAGGTGGTAACTTGTAACATATTTTCCACTGAGCAGTAAATACAATTGGTTCTTAATAATGTAAACGATTCCATTTGCTGCCTTGACTAGTACTGTGATAACTCTTTTGAAAGTGATTTGTGACATGTTGCTTCTCTGGCAAGATATATTTGACGCTTGTGACGCTGTCCACTACACCAGTTACAGCTACCGTGTCTTTGGGTACTGGTATGGTTGTAACCTTGCTTCTGAATTTTCTTTTATTTTGATTTGTATTTTTGGTTATTCTTTGGGTATGTGCGTTTTCCAAAAATCAACAGTACTAAGCTCAGAATCTCCAGGAACTATTTATTGGCTTTTTTTTCTTGCTTCTGCCTGTCGACCATCTTTCAGTTTTGTATGAAGACATCCAATGGTTCCCCTGTCATTTGGTTGCGTTTGTTGAATCAATCTTGCTCCACAATTATGTTGCGACAAAATTCATAGTAATCATTGAGACCCTTTTTCACATCATCATCATTCTCCCATGGCATGCAGTGTACTGTCCTGTTTACACCATGCAGGTCACAAGTTACTGAGTTAAATGCTCCAGTTGCTTGTGGTTCATGT